CAACAACAACTGAGTATTAAGGGAAATTTGAATGAAGTTGTTTATACCATCAAGTAAAATGAGTTGGTGAGAAGTTGCTCAGTAAAAACAAGTAACAACAACATCTTAAATAAGATTATCAAAGCTCATCCTAATCCTAATTAAGTGTTTATATGAAAACTGCTTCTTTTTTTCCTGTTTCGTTATTTCCTGTTACTTTTTTTTCCTACATTCCAATAATTAGTATTCCTTTCTGTACTTCCCTGGTCCAAAATAACATTCGTAGATTTACTTAACTACCAATACAATATTCACTGGCAACCAGCACCACTGCAAACTTATCGCTTAGTGGTCCTGATGAATTTTTACTAGCCAGGGACCACAGGACCAGCGTAAATTTTGCACACTGCAAGCCCCAACCATTTTGTTATCAGAAGGAAACAGTAGTCAATTATTTGAGAGGCCTACTTTGTTCGGCTTTTAGAAACATAAATGCATAAAAAAGGTCATCTTAACCACTCAATACCACAGAAACTGCAATTCATTTATTCAGAGCTGCCATTCAAAATTTCACTTTTAAGTATTTCAAAAGCTTAGATCATAATTTGATCAAACTAAATCTACAGATTCTTATCTATTCAATCAATAATGAAGTTCAATTTGTTTCCCGGAAAAACAGGTGCAACAGTAAACAATAAAACTACCCTCCAACCATGATAACTTTCTCAGTTGCCTCAGTGTTTGCATAATAACGAGAATATAACTGCCACTCAACTATGTCCATATCACAAAGCGATCTTTGCACTCCAGCTGTCATTGCATCCGCAGGCAAAAATTGTTTTAAAATAGCAGTAATTCCTAGTAGTAACCATGGAAACAAGTACTATTATTTTATTCAGGAAATGTCATAATAATGGCAGTGTTTTAGATCACCTGTTTGAAGTCAGACATATCGAAGAGTTCCATTTTCGCTTCAATGTGCAATTTTAGGTAATAGTAGATTAAAAAAATATTGACACCTTCTCCCGAGTATCAAAATCTTACACACTACATCCACCCCCACCCAAAAAATTATTTTGTTTATACAAGTACATACTACATAGTTCAAAAAAGGTTAGCTATCATACACTTTCAGGCAGATAATGTCATTCTTGTATTTGGGCACAGGGATCTAATCAAGAATACAGAGCAGCTAATGACTCCGTTGAACAAAATATGTAAATAAACAAATATTTCTCAGTAAGACTTGAAGAAAATTATTTCCTCAATATTTATTCCACAGTCAGGCAATATATATCTTCACTGCATTGATCCACGTGACAATTTATCAAAAATCAATTTCAGCAACATAAACTATTTGCTGAGCAAATAAAGAGCTTCAGTATTGTGATCTAAGTGTAAATACCCCAGACAAATCAGAACCACATTTACATCTAAAGATATGGATATATACTGCCATGTGTGAAGTCCAGCCTGTAAGATACAACCATCACTCAGAATTCCAAGGCAGAGAAAAGCAGATGCATCACAGGGAGATAGATGTTCAACCTCATCAACACTATCAGATATCAAGCAGGTTAAATAAAGGAACACCCCCTGAAGATCTCAGTACAAATGAAACAGTAATGGTCATTAAAGGAAGTCATCAAGCTGTACACAAAGGTTGGAAGACCTAAAGAATCATGTGACCTAAATGTAACAATATTTATTTATTAAACTATCATTTGAAATGGAAATTTTACATCCACTTCCTGCACTCAGCCTGTCAATGATTATTTGTGAAAGATTATTTTACTGGTTTGAGCTTTTTCAAATATACACACCAAAAGTTTTTTTACAGCTGAAGCTTTGTTTTCAATACAAACAAGCACTTACTTCAATGAGTGCCTAATACAATGATATGCATGATGCATGAATTTCATATGAAATTAACTTCAGTATAGTCTGTCGGACATTAATTATTTTTAACACGAAACTTTATGCAGGAGACAGTGACTTGATAAAGTGAGTCTTCAGATACATAGCCATTAGTATGACTTAATTGCCCAACTGACTAGACTATCCGCAATTTCAAACATTGTCGGATGTATTATGTCACAACACTAATGTAGACTTTGGAAAAAATTATGAAATATCTTCTGACACCATGGACAAAAATTATGAACAAATTGACTCAAAGAGCAGAGCTAATAATTTTCTGAGAGGTTAATATCAATCTCAGCAACTTAATTCCAAAACGCTGAAACACTACAGAAATATTTACATACTGTCGCCAGAATCTGCTGAGAATTGTTGTCAAGCTAGCAGTGTCTGGCCCGGTCAAATCAATACTGTTCCCCTGATACGACGCTTGTCACAACCATATTGTGTGTAGTGAAATGAACATGCAGTGTAATCAATTTCACCTTGCACATTTCATCCAATGTGATGGAACTGATAGAGACTATACCCACTTGAGATATGATTGAAATAAAATAAAATTAGGACATCTTCATTAAACAAAATGGCATATTCATAAAAAGAATTCAGAATTTTCATCATTTAAGTCTTTAATGTGCACACTCCACAGATAATGAAATGTCTCCTTAACAACAGATTTCTGACCTAAATTATTTCTATAATTACACAGCTAAGAGGCTCAATCAAATACTTCGTTGTCATATGTAGGTCTCCCATACTACCAGTATCCCACAGTGGTAAATACTAACAAATAATATTTCAATACATTAGGAAAATACCACTATACAATGTCAATGTCTTTTAAAATCATGCATATTTTCATCTTGTTGGCGAAGTAATTATTTTAATGGAAATTGTGAAATAAGCACCTGATTATTGAAATAAAAGAAACTTTAAACCCACAACCTGCACCCAATGTGTCAAATATGAAAGCATTGTGACCAAAGTAGCATCCAACAAAATGCCAGATTTGGCCCCAAAAGGAGGTCCATTTAGAACTAAAAACTTTAAAAGAAATATTGATCACAAAATCGAGGATAACATTGTAGTGGGAATGCCAATTATTGTGGTATATATTGCAGTTAATACATGAATCATTGCTGTCAATTGCAATCCAAATCCAACACTCATCACTTATAATGGGAGAAGCTTCTACAACTTTTCTGAAGCTTTCGTCAAGTACCATTGTTCCTGTCCAGTGAAGTGTAGTCACATGTACAGTTCTCACATTAACACCCAAATCTCAAGAATGAACAAGTGAGTATGGTTTTACAACACTTTTAGCAATATTACAGGGGTGGAAATAACCCATTGACAACGTCCCACTCCAGTGATTTTTTCTGTCGGGCAAGCAAATTTGTATATCACACTGTACCGGTGTTCAGTTGACTTTCCAATGTTAATTATGTTCTTTATTTAAAAAATCAACAAGAAAACAGACGGTACAGTGGAAAAATTATCAGGGCAAGTGATTTTACATGTGCCACTGTACCAGAGTACACAAGCAATCTTAAAGTTATTTCCACCATTGATATTCCAACAATATCACGGTGGGGGACACCAGAAATGGGCTTCACACATTGTACCCATGTGGAGAATCGAACCCGGGTCTTCAACGCAGCGAGCAAACACTATAACCACTGGGCTACCCCAGTGTCCCCAAAATCTCAAGAAATGATACCACACCAAATACTCATGCAAGATGGTTGATCAGTGAGCCCATTCTTCTGCACCCCAATGCAATATTGCTGGAATACTGATACTTTGCAGGGTTTCAAATACCCCATATATTAGCGTGCCTTGACACGGTAAATATCGAAATGGCACGGATACAAAATGTTCTTGGTGCCCTTATGGCACGCCTAATTTTTTAGAGACATAACACACCTTTAGTCATTTAACAACCAAACAAAACACTTATGCAAATGACAAACAAGCAAAAACATTTATTGACTTTATCGCCCAGGAAATCACTGGAATTATGATGGTTGAGGTAAAGAAATCTGGTTGTTTTTTCATTTAGAGTGTTGGAATTACTGATAGTTCGGCTATTGAAGAGGAAAGTGTGTATGTTAGATATATTGAAAAAAGTGAACCTCTCACACAATTCTTAGCTATTAAAGGTGTTGGGAAAGCAGAACAAATGAAACATAAGAAAGCCATCTTAAACAGAAGACATATCAGTGATAACAGAAAACCTGTTACATTTGTTGTTTTCTGACAATAAATTTCAAAAGATCATCATCCTTGCTACTGTCATTTATTCTAAAAATGTGGGCACACTTGATTTTCTGAAAGGCACACCTAAAATATTTGCCTGGTGCCCTAGGCACACTTAGAAAAAAAAGTATTTCTATCCCTGCTTTGGGTGCAAAACCTTGATTTCAATGAAAATGATTTTTTCTTAAAACACGCAAGTTTTCTACTCATTTAGTACCATAAAACACACACATTTCAGCTCAACTAATGCCATAGAACACACACAACGTTTCTGCTCGTTAACCACCAAATTTATTCATGAAACTGACACTTCACATTATTCACTGTGCCAAGAAAATGATCTAAAAATGATCAACATGCAACTGTGAGCAGCCTATTACTATAATGTTCCCAAATGCTGCATACTAGAATAATGAATTGTCCCTTTAATCAATTCTTGCAACAGTCTTTCTATTTAGATGCATAAACATGATAAGGGAACATTACCCAATACTAGTAATAAAAGACCGCGACTCAATTCGAAGTTTCTAAATTTAGCCTCAAGCAGTCAACATCATGTGATCTGAGGCACACGATGATGCTTGGCTATTCGGTTCTTCTTCCCCAGCTGATGAACCACTGATTGGCCAGCATGCCTAAATGCAACAAAAAACTTAAGAAATAAAAATTAAAATGCTCTAGGTAATAAAATCAAAAATAAATTTGAAAGATTTATCTAAAGTCTGGTAGACATGTTCACCACAAATAGCAGCTGCACCAACGCAACATGAAGTTCAACAAGATCAACACTACAGATAAAATACCCAGAGCTCCAACCCATGCATTCCGTTTTTTAAACTCACGCTTTTTCTTTGAAGACACTCCAAATGCATGCTTGATAGACTTAAACAGACTCTTGGTGGATCGTCTCCAAGACTTGTCGGGGTCAACAATTTGTTCGGTCTCCATGGTCATCTAGTGGTCAGTTACTGGCGTCACTTTAACATTATACACACTGAATCTCCATCCAACCAAACAGTTCGACTTCCACGTCAACAACGCTGGGCAAACACTGCGACACCACCATGGAACATATATCACAAACACCTGGCTATTTCAAAATGATTGTCACTTTCTCACTGCCCGATATCTACATGTAGCTGAATATGGATTTTCGCTTCGCAAGTCGAGACATAAAATTCATGCCAGCTTCGCTCACCTGAGCCACGTATTGTAAGCTTTAGGTAAATGGTAATTATTAGAAACTGCCCTGCCCATAAAAGTAAAACGGAAACTGTCCGCGTGATACTCACCAACCGTAAGTCTGCCAGCTGTCGTTTGGACCTATTGTCACTGTAACAAGTCCCCAGCGAGCTCGCAGCGGTAACAGCTATTTTAATGATTAATAAACATGACTGTTCTGCATTGGAATGACAACTCTGCATAAACAGCTAGGTACAAACTGAGAAACGGAGTAAAATGATTCAGGCACAGTCTGGCTAGGCATCACTGACAGACAAGGTAGACCAAAACATATGCTGCCTTGTTTCCCGAGGTACAGAAGATAGAGATGGAAAAAGGGTCAAATGGCAGTTTATTGCATGACGCAACGGAATTAACAAGGTAAGGTTTTATAGTTGGTGAATCATTCATGAGTCTACGCAGCCTACCTTGAGAGATGTTTGATCCGAATCGAAATATGATCTTGATTTTGTGAACTTGCCACAACCTTCAATATCTAACCCTGACAAAAAACCTGTGTAACTAGGTGCAAACCTATTGCCATGCAATTTTAATGAAGATGTAATTACTTTCATCGGGCTACACATGTTGGGAGAAAACAAAGATGTATAGAGTAAGACAGATTGATTGATTATGGGGAAAATAAAACTGATATATTCTTGCTTCAAGCTTGACAAGATTGCTACACCAATGGAAGGGGTGGGGTGATTGGGCAGAATTCCACAATCACCAACACCTCCACAGTCTGTGCCAAAAAACTTCAAGTCTACTAGGATTTAAACTGTATTTTCAATAAATAGAGGGCTTAGTGTTATCATATGAACTGTTATAAGTTGAGATTACTAGACCAAAGGGAATATTACTAGACTCAGACTTCAGGCCTGTAGCCAAAGCCACACAGTGCTTCATGAATATAAAAAAAATGAATTTTGTGCTGGGATAAAAACCAAGTTATTGTCTCACTAGTCCACAAGAATTAACACTAACAGCTCCTGAGCTGCTACCAACATAATGGAACAGTGGTAACAGTCCATGAGGTAAATTCACTAGTCCTTCCTTAATTTTGCTAGTCTTGGACTAGTGGATGTCAATTTCAAACCCTTCAATAGAGTTTCTCAGCAAGGTCAACTGTAAATACCAGTCTCAACCCAAAACTATACAGAATTTTCCACTCCTGGTTAATATTAGTCTGTCTCACAGTCCTAGTCTGTCTCACAGTCCCTGAACCACATTATTTTCCCCACTGCCAAGCCTTCTCTGCAGTGCTAAAGCCCTAAATAAAGCAAGTCTAGATTTCTCTGGTCTCCCTAGGGCTCCTTTTCAATATAAATGGGCATGTTTGTTACTATCAAAATTATATATATTCAGAGACTAAGCCTTAGTCTATCACAGTCCCTGAACCACGTTATTTCCTTACAACTTTGCCTTCCCTGCAGTGTCAAAGCCCTAAATGAATCATGCCTAGATTTCCCAAGGTTCCAGTCCTTTTCAATTTAAATGGGTTTATTTGTTAAAATCAAAATTATACATATTTTCAGAGACTAAGTGTTAATATCTGAATTTCTTGATAATACTTGAGAGTACCTTTGGAATGTCACAATGTGTTATTATTATTATTAATATCTCAGGAGATATAATCCTGCAAATTAAGCATACTGCTATTTCAGGAAATATAATTTTGTGTACATATTACAAGAAAATAAGAATCAATGTTTCATTAAAGATGTCAGTGTCAATGTTCACCAAGTCCTTGCTCGCGTCCAGTAAATCCTCCACACAATAGCTTATTCCACAAACTAACCTACAAACCTATTTCTTCAGCAAATACAACACAGGTGTCGTCATACGATTATCCTACACCACTTCATTATTCTGAACACTGGAATGTCGAGCATTCAACACACTAATAGCAAATAAAGTGAATCTGTGGTGGTTAACTTAAACACAATACTGTTCAAAGATGAAGATAGAGATCTGGCCATCACAAAACTCATTACAGCACAAATACCACTTCCTACTCATGATAAGTGACCTCTAAGCATGTCCACATAGATAAGGAACAATTGTGTTGCTGGCTATAGATTCAGCCAGTGAACCATCAACAGGATGATCCTATCACCAGTTTTATCATTCAGGTCGTAAACTTGACACACTGGCATACAGTGAGATATAGTTTTTGTACATATTTGACTTATATACACTTCACATACCATCTGACCAGGCCTGAGGCTGAGGAGCGTGGCGAGGAATGTGTCGAGGTTATCGGCAAAGGCTGTAACACTACAACAGCGTGACAACAGCGGGGGCAGCCCACCACACCTGAATACCTGTACTTTAGTGGCTGTTCACCCAGCTATCTCAGCATCCTTTATGTAGACTGTATATAGATTTCAGGTAGATTATACTCGGATTCATCTGGGTCTGGGAGTGCTGCTGATGCTACAGTAGACTAAGGCTTAGTCCCTGAATATATATAATTTCATAGTAACAAACAAGCCCATTTATATTGAAAAGGAGCACTAGGGAGACCAGAGATTCATCCGAGGAAATCTAGACTTGCTTTATTTAGGGCTTTAGCACTGCAGAGAGGGCTTGGCAGTAGGGAAATTAATGTGGTTCAGGGACTGTGAGACAGACTAATGCTACAGCTATGATGTCATGCGTTGGTGTGTTTTATCGCATCATCCACTGATTAGAGATACGGAAGCTTACGTAGGGATGACCTTTAGACGGGCAACCGGTATTACCAACAGCTAACTGGACAATGACGGAAATCATTCGAAGCATGGAAAATATTACATCTAACAGTGTTTGCATGACAGAAATATGTGTCCAGTATGCACAATTGTTTAGATAGAAGAAAATACTTTATCCAAAAAATAAAAAGTAATATTCAAATTTCATGGTACAAAATTCTTGACAAGAAGCATAAAGGCCTCTATTAACAGTTATTATCAAATCTTGCAGTCCAGTACATTCACTATTTCATTACTTTACTGGAATTTATTTGGTGAGGGAATTGTAGTGTGTTCCTGGGAGATAAGTATTGTACTTCTAGGTAAAACCCTGATCTATCCTGACAGCAGTTCATTATACACTACTGGGTATTCTGGTACGTGGCGGTAATTGTGGTACAAAGTGACATCATTACTGACACAGTGAGACCCTCAGCATAGTCTCTTTGACAAGGGGTTGAGTGGGTTCTGGGACTGAAGAGTAAAACGCAACTAACAAGTCAGGCTTGCTATTTAGTTGACACATGCCATTGTATCCGAATTGCATAGATTTAGGCTCATGCTGTTGATCACTGGATTGTCTGGTCCAAACTCAATTATTTACAGGCTGATGCACACACTGTAACCAATCTGAGAAGATTCACTACTTAAATAAATGGTGCATGTGAAATGATCCTAAAATACAATCAGGGACAACAATATACCACACCACCTGATAGCTGAGATGTCCATTTGCTTAGATACTGACTGACTGTCATCCAAAATGTCCCATATATATTTTCATGTTTCTGAATCACAATAAATGTCACAGGAAGGGGTCGTCACTATTACAGTTTCCTGAGTCAACTAATCACTGGTAACATATGTTATATTTGGGATTACACTTCCTTAGTAAAGTACAGATTCTAATACTTTATGGGTTGAGTCCCATCCGGGATTCGAACCCACGCCCTCAGAGTCAGGCACCTAATCGCCAGCACACAAAGTCAGACGCCTAGACCGCTCAACCATCTAAACATTTTTGTGGAAGCCGCGGTGACTCAACCCATGTACTAGAATCTGTACTTTACTAAGAAAGTGTAATCCCAAATATAACATATGTTACATTTGACCACTTTCTAAAATGGCATTGTGTATTTCATAACTATTCACTTACAACAAATTTCAAAACAATATTACATAAAAATTCATTTATAGCTGCAACAGAATCACCCAATGCATGCCAACATTATAACATCAAAACTCCTAATCTTCAACCCAAGGCCAATATTTGCTAACTATCCCTACTGTAATGAAAACAATGTTTTACTTCTAACAACACAACATGACTTCTATCATTTCAGGGCATCTCAGCATCACCAATAGTTCCAAGAATTCAGGAAGTACCTTCCACATGTTTAACCAACAGGCCTGTCAAACAAATCACTATTTCAAATGCCCCGAGAAGCAATCAGCCAACATGACTAGGTCTTTCATCAGTGAATCAATGGCTTCATCTTATCATCGGTAGGACCATAAATTCAATCAATCCCACCCTCCGCAACTGATCTCAGTTCTCTATCTCTCCCCAGGTAACACCACGATCAACCCTCGCACCTGTCCCTCCCCCAGGAATCCAGCCAGCAATGGGAGCAGGGAGGACATGTCTGTCTTCAGGAATAGTTCATGTCTGTCAGTAAGCTGGGAGTCAGCTCTCTCCATTACATCACACCATTCTACACCAGTGGCTCTGGGAGCCTGCCAACTCTCACTTCATTCACAGGCTCACTGTGGACCAGGGAGTGGGTCAGGGGGGCTTGACCTTTGGGCGGTTATCCATAGGCCGGACTACCAATTGTACACTATTTCGGTTACTTTAACTTCTGTTTTAGACATGAAAATCTAATACTTAGAGTAGTTAAATACTAAATATTTGTGGAAATTTATAAATATTGATGGCAATAGGTCGGACTACCAATTGTACACTATTTCGGTTACTTTAACTGTTGTAGACATGGAAATCTCACACTGAGGGCGGTTAAATACTAAATATTTGTATACATTTTAAAATATTAATGTGAAGGTGGACTTGCATAGGTTGAACTACCACTTGTACACTACTTCAGTCACTTTGACTGTTTTAGACATGGAAACAAAATAGTAATACTGATGTTGGTAAAATACTAAATATTTCTTGACATTTCAGAATATCAATATAATGGTGGACTTGGCGTAACCAATTTGAATTTCATTTTGAACCTTAAGACATTACTTGGTTTGTGTGCAAGCCTAAATTTAAAGATTTTTATCGCTCCAATTGGTTAATGATAACCTTAGTTTCACAGACATTGTCCCAGGTTCACATCCAGGACTTATTATTATGTGTAGGCAAGAGAAGTAAGGTGAAATGGGTTTCAAAGTCTTGTTTCAAAATAACTGCACGTCTAGTTATAGCGACATGTATCCAGGTATAATTTTTTATGGTGCCATTGTATAAAGATACCATACCACATTTTAAAACTGATACTCCATTTTGGAATGATGTGAGTGGGCATAGCCACCAAACTTTCCCTCCACGGACTGGAACTCGCACTACTAGACCAATGAGGTAGCCAATACAAAAGTAATGGACCTGGCTATGGTCCATCCTTAAACCTAAATATTCTTACTCTCCAAAATATAAAATAACACTCAGAGCTCCAGATAAGATTTAGCTCATGTGGGTACTGTACCCACTGTATTTTTTTGGAGCGGGTATTATGAATGTTGAGCGGGTATTTCATTTTCCGTTACCCACTGCTTTCAAATATGTGGGTATTTCAGTGATTTTACTCACCTAAGTATTATGTCATTGAGTTTGTTTACTAAGCAGGTATGTTCTGCCTCATGTCATACCTAATCAAAACCAACTTAAATATAATGGAAATGATTTCATAAAAAATCACTCATCCTGTACTGACAGTACAACACTAGTCCTATACTAACAGTACAACTTGATAGCAATCTATGTCTTTTTCATCATGCAAGCGATTTTTATAAATATATTCCGTTCGCATTTGTTTTAAACTTTTTGCGAATCTAACATTTTAAATGCGTAATTGGTACGCAACAATTATTGTTCAATGCGTAATTGGAAATTTTCTATGCGTATTTTACCCAGATACGCAGCTTATCTGGGCCTCTGTAACACTTATCAAGCTTAAAATACTCACATCAACCTGACATTTAGAAACAAAGCATCATCATAAAAGTAATTTATGATAATTATTAGTTATAACAAAAAGCGATATGAAACAATTCCAATTTTCATCAAATATAGATTGTAATCATGACCATGATGCTAACATCGATGACAAATTTTGTCAATTTCCATCCCAAAAGATCAGAATAGCAGTGAAACTCTGGCTGGCCTCCCAAAATGTCAATTGTGGCATCCATCATAGATAATGACCACAGACCTCCCTGTTCTGTTCAAGTGGGTGTGCACAGGACCTACTTAAGTGGCCTGAACAAACACTGGCAAGTATCAGTGTATCATTCACTGTGTTTAGATGAGTCAGCATTCAGGTTGAAACAGGGCCTATATTAGTAGCAACAACTTGTTGACTAACACTTTGTGTCATAAAAATATATAATTTTGTTAGAAACAAATTACTTGCTATGAATTGAAAAGGAGCTGTTGTGAGGTTGCAGAATCAGAAAAACCTACGCTTGCCCCATTTAGGGATTTTGCATTTCAAAAAGGGCTTGGAGAAGGGGAAAATAATATAGTTCAGGGACTGTCAGCCTATAACAACTTTTTCTTAAACCAATTACATAACATATTAAGGTAACAGGGCTACGATTGACGCAGTTTCCACAGAGATTCTTAAAAAATTAACTGGAAATTAATCCGGCAGAGGCCCAGATAAGCTGCGTATCCGGGTAAAATATGCATAGAAACTTTCCAATTACGCATTGAAAAATAATTGTTGCATACCAATTACGCATTGAAACTGTTAGATACGCAAAGAGTTTAAAACAAATGCGTATGGAATATACTTATAAAAATCGCTTGCGTAATGAAAAAGACATCGATTGCTATCAAGTTGTACTGTGAGTATAGGACAAGTGTTGTACTGTCAGTATAGGATGACTGTTTTTTTATAAAATCATTTCCCTTATATTTAAGTTTGTTTTGATTAGGTATGACATAAGGCAGAACATACCTGCTTAGTAAACTTACTCAATGACACAATACTTAGGTGTGTAAAATGACTGAAATATGTACATATTTGAAAGCAGTGGGTAACGGTAAATGAAATACCCACTCAACATTCATAATACCCACTCCAAAAAATACAGTGGGTACAGTACCCATATTAGCTAAATCTTATCTGGAGCTCTGAATCCGTATTTGCAATTTGTGCATTTTGGACTTAACCACGATCGTAACAAGTCAATTAGACCTACTGGTGGTAGATACGTTCAAGAGAGTAAGGTTCTGTACCTTAAGCAAAATTCGAAAGGAAACAACAGAAACTGACTTCACATGTTGTGAGTTGAACCTGAGCCTTTAGCTTGAAAATGTGTTTGCTCCTGAACAGCACAAAAATAATAATTCTAAAAACTATGTCAAAAGATTTTGACCAAATGTAGTACAAGGGTCCTCAAAGCCTAGACCCCATACAATGTCAGTATGACAGAAACTCAACAAAGCATTAATAACTGAGTCACAAAAGTATCGCAATCACACATTAAGAACATCATCTTTTCAGTAACACAGCCAAGTATACCCCCAAGTAATGGGTCTGACTTGTTGGTATCTAACCTTAAATTAGCGCCAATGTTCTTATTGGGCAACACCCATCCTTACACATCAGCCTGGGGGTACCATTAGACCCACTCACTGTAGCAGCAAACATAAAAACACAACTGAAGGACGATCTGCACAGGGTCACATTCCTCAGTACAGCACATACAGGCATCAATAAACCAAACAAACAGTCAAGAAAGAAAAGCATCGCCATTTGTAGCTCTACCAAACACTTCTCTATGTTCATTATAACACAACTTGACGAAAACTGCTCAGAGAAAACACTATTCTTTTTATTATTTAGATAAATATTTACCATCTGAAACATTTATCATTCTTATTGCTTCTTGTTTTGAGAAAATCAACCTGAAAAGTTAACTTCTGTTAATAAGTGATTTTCCACAGATCTGAACATATCAACAGCATTCATGATTAGGACAAATCAAAACTATGTTTTAAATGATTTTCATTTTAATTTCAAAATAGGGCAAGCAGGATTTTGGTCCAAATTTTTATGTGTGAGTTTGTTTTGACATCACTAACAAGAATTATCACATAAAATGTTATGGCCAGCACCTTAAGGTTGGTCAGGTAATTGGAAAGACATGACTATTTTAGGTAGTACAGCCCTTCATATAAACATCATGAAATCCCATCACAAAATGTTTAAATATTTGTTTCCTTCCTCAAGCAAGTCATTACTGAGTCTGACATTTTCCACCACTCAAATACTTCAACAAGGAAAACCAAAAAAGGATGATAACTGTGGCTTACAACAGTATATTACTCATGCATTCAAAACATAACATATCATTGATGGACTTTACTATCAGATTAATGGTATGTGATTATTTGTCCAATCAGTGCAAATCATATTACTGTACAAATCTGAGAACAAATATGGCAGAGTATATAACTGACGAAATACACAGTATTTAAAACAACGATTTCAGAAAAGGTTGTGAAACAACTACCTATGTGGAAACCAATTATCCCTTGTACTTTGTTGTAGCTTGAATTTGCCAACATCACCTTCAATATACAAGTCATGAAGAAGGCAATAGTTGCCCATTACCAACCTGTCTCTAATTAACAGACAAATATCATAAAAAATTATCCATAAGCTTCAATCACGCCAGTTAAGAAGGTCAATATTCCTTGTGCACCCATAACCTGGCCTCATTAGTGAACAAAAGCCAGTGTATATTTACACATTGGGGGTAATAAACAGGTAATTTAGTAAGGTGATTAAGAACCCCAAAGGATGTTGATCAAATAACAAGACAAGATAATGCTAGAGCATTAGTATACCAGGTAAACACTACATATACATTTGACTATATAGTTAGTTCCAAATAGCATGAGGCTGCTGATATATATCTGGCATCAAGCTGTATATATGTGGATCTGTGGAGATCAAGTGCTTGATTTGTGCTAGAATTTAGCTACCGGTACTATTTAGTTGACATAATGGCATTGTTCTGCTGTGCAGTAACTAAACATTGTATCAATAAGAATGACAATGGTGCATGTGAGGTGAGGTGAAATTGGGTTTAACGTCGTGCTTGAAAATATTTCGGTCATATGACGACGTGCATGCGTGTGTATGTGTATGTGCGGTTGCTTGTACTAGCCCAGACTTAAGCTGGTTTTATAGTGCTAGCCCACTGAGATACCATGTCGCAGTGAAGCATGAATACCCCACTCAGACACATTATACTGACTCCGAGCCGACCAGTCCTTGTTGTACCCATTAATGCCGAGCACCAGGCAGGGACCAACAAGTACCATATTTTAACGTCTTTTGGTATGACGCTGGTCGGGATCGAACCAGCGCCTTCCGCTCCCCGGGCGGACGCTCTAACCACTACACCACGGAGGCGGTCAATGGTGCATGTAAGTAGAAGTAGAACATTCACAGATTTTTACCACCAAGAGTGTGCATAACATATATTGTCCATGTCATGTCATATAGCATGTTGATGAGAATCTTTTTTAGCCAAAACACACTGAAAGTTAGCCTGGGAACTTAATATTTATGCACATAATCTAATGACACATCTGAAAATACCACATCTTTGCTCAGGAAAAAATATGAAGCATAAGCCTCTTCACATGTACCTATATTCCTTTGATGATCAAATGCATTGTTTTGCAAACTGTATCAGATTTTACCTTATTAAGTAAACATGGTAAACACATGTGCCCATATAGTTCCACTCGGTAGATATATATCAAATGTTAATACATGATTTTACTTGGAGTGTCATTGGAAATGTTTGAATTGACATATCAACTCAGAATTAAGACAATACGTCTATTGCTCATAAGATTAACTATTCTCCATGTGCAGTTAGAAAACAACTATGTGGACCTGTCACTTCTTGTTAAATATGAT